GCTGTGGGAAAGAGAGCCTGGAATCCTCTCAGCTTCCCACAGCTTTGATGAAAGTAGATAGCTACTTCTGGAAAAGAGAAATTCTTTATATTGCAACTTGATCTCTCCTCTCAGCAGGATCTCAGTGCTCTTTAGGTCCTGGTGAACAGAAAAGGGAGCCCACCCCAGTCCATAACATGTGCTAGGGAGTAGACAAACTGCTGTATGACTTGTCTGTAGTGTGGGTGTATTTATTCACGCCCAGGCCAAGATCCACATTGTGCTAGGTGCTGTACAACCTGCGTCCTGGGGCAGTTCTCGGGCAGCTTAAAGTCCTGGTGGTATATGATTACTGGTAGCTCAGTGTGTTTCCTGAGCCTCATGGACCACCTCTCTTCAGTGACTGTGATGAGCTGTTGTCCAAGTACTTGTTTAGTCTGTTCTCAAGACAATTTCACCTCTTCTGCATCATGTCCTTTGGCAAGCAGTTCTACAGGTCTGCTGCATGTTGCATGGAAAGCCACCTCCTGGTTTCGTATCTGGAAACAAGGGCCTAAGGAGAAAATAAAAGGCAGTTGCAGCTGTCAGATCTTTTGTAGCCAAGCAGTTCCGTACTGACCCAGACCCATTTCTAGGGTCTCAGGGTTCTGGGGTGCTGAGCAGAGGTTGTCTTCCTCCTCCTCTCTGCTATTTCAGCGTGTCATCTGTGTGTGAGGCATGGTCATGGCTGCACGCCTCCCCCTTACCCTTGCACAAGGATCAGGAGTGAAGTGGGGAGCACAGATTCATGCTCTCTGTCACCCACTACCAGTTTTGGAGGGACTTTTTTGCCTTGGGGCTGCTTGGACATCAGGGGGCCAAGCCCATCATATATCTTTTGACTCATGAGTTGTTGCTCAAAGGGAAAACTGCATTTTCAGGGAAGGATGGATGGGATGGGGAGGATCTGGTGGCCTCAGATGCTAGAGGCTTTCCTGAGGGCTTGTCAGGAAAACCTCAGCCCAGCTTGACCCATTGCGAGCCCTCAATAGCTTCTCCCACACAGCTTGTTTGTGCTTGTGCCACTCACTCCTCTTCCATTGTCCTTCCAGCTGGTGCCCTTTGAACTCATGAATGTGGACTACATGTTCTTTAACTTCTGCGTCAGGGGAATGTTTGCAGATGGGGGCACCACCCTTCTCAAGAAATTGTAAGTATAGCCTGGAACAATTTGGTGTGATCAGTGCCTTTCTATGAAAATCCTCCCATGGGTCTGACTAGCATCTGGATACAGGTAGCAGATCTACTGATCTGATACGCTCTGGGATTTACTGGGGAGCTTACCATCAAGCGATTCAGCTGAACCTTGGGTCTCTGGGATTGTTACCAGCCTTGACAGATGAAAGGAAACTGGGTGCTGATATCCTATAAATACTGTGAGAATCATAGGAGCCCAGAGGAATGGAGCAAACCTCTTTTTGTCACTTAGATATACTGTTCAGAGGGGTTGGCCTTGTGAAAGCTGGTCTACTGTCATTACTTCCTAACACTGCTCAGCTAGTCACTGTTTTCTCTTTCAGCAAAGGGGAGCTGGAGAAAAGCAGCATCGGGCTGTTCTTCTGGTTGGCAAAGTTACCAAATTGGTTGAAAACTGTCCTCTCCTGGATTGCCAAACCCTTCGTAAGGTCCACTTCTTTCTAACATAGATGTTAAGTGATAGATGGTGCATAACTTGTCTCCTATTGCAGTAAGGCTTTGTCATAGAGAAGTCTCTAGGTGTTGCATCCTGGCTGTGCTTAGACACATCTCCAAACTGGAGTGATGCTATTTCTGTTCCTCCTCTCCCCTTTTGGGGAAAATCCACAAGTCCTGCCTGAACACTGAGTCAACAGCTTTTATTTGTGGCGGAGCCGTCTCAGAGAACAGGGCTGAGGTTAATGTAAATTATTTTCTTTTTTTTACTTTCTCCTTCTCAGGTGCCTCGATTTTCAGATATCGTAAGAAGTACGAGAGCAAAGTGAGTAAATCTGAGCCAGAGCAAATGTGTGAAGGTTTGAGTTTCTCTTTTGGATAGCAGCAGTGTTTGCTACATTAGGGATACTGCCCCAGCTGCACGCATTTGAGAAAATAGAAGGCAGAAAACGCAAGGGTGGGAGCAAACTGAGAGCAGTTTATGTCAACACCATAATCCTGCAGGGTTTGGCAAACTGTTCCAGTACTGAGGATGGGAATGAGGGTGGGGGCTCACAGCCTCTTGCTTAGGAAGCTTGTGGGAATGAAATACAGTTTCGGCTTCAGCACTAGTTAATGGAGCCCCCATGCCATGGGGTGGGGACCCCGTAAGACAGAAGGAAGGTAAATGCACAGGGAAGGAGGGTCGCTCTTCCTTGCTGTGATGTCAGCGTTGGGCAGTTAGTGGTGAGAAAGGAGCCAAATCATGTAGCAGAGAGGGTGTATTTTGTGCTGTGCCTCCAAGGCAGCATGTCTGTCCCCACATCAGAGGATCAGTCCACCTCACGCAGCCTGGCCTCTGAGAAGTTATGTACCTGGGTTTCCAGCTCCTCAGCACACTGGCGGTGATAGGACTGGACACTTGTCAGGCCAAAGCAGCACTGCACCAACCTGCCTTTAGTCTTCAGCCCTCCATCATGGGCAGAAGCAGAAATAAGATCCCCAGCCCTTCAGAGGAAAGCCAGGACTTTGGCAAAGTCCTCTCTTCCCTTGGCTGCAGCTCCAGGAGCAGAGCTAACCTGTGCCCATCTGCTTTTTGATGCTCTTCCCTGCTCCTAAAGCTGCTCTTTGCAGCACCTCTTGATGCCTTTCATTGGTTTTGTTTCCTTTTTCAGCACAGTGGAAGAAGTCTGGAGTCTTCATCATGAAATTGAGGTAAAGTATTGCAATTTAGGCTTAGATAGTTTTTGGTTTATTTCTCTTTGGGAAGAGGCAGATTCAGTACCCAGCAAGGTTAGGAGTATGAGGTAGGAACATAGGTCCCTCCTCAACAGATCTCACTTGGGTGTGCAAGTTCCAGCACATTTAAAGATTAGGACAACATGTAAACACATTCATGATCCTCAATCAGACCTGAATTCTTTTACTCCTACACTTGAAAACGTAAGTCAGCAGCTGCAGCAGACTTGCCTTTGTTTCCATTCTGGTTTCTTCAAGACCCATGCCTGTGTCCCAGGTTGCCATGTGCCCCAGTATTCAATCTTTCCCCACCTCCAGTTTTAGCAGGGGGAGGGTGCTTTTTACGCTGGGAGGGCTGTTGGCCAAGCAGCAAAGGGCTGCTGGATTTTAGCAGGATCAGGCCTGATGTAGCCTGATGGCTGCTCCTGGGGAAGGGCCAAGAGCCCAGCTGGGCACCCAAGGAGAGCCTCAGCCAGCAGGCATGGGACAGTGCATCCACCCCGCTGACCACCAGTACGTTTCCTCCTCAGGATTTTTGCCACCAGTTCATTGCCCAGTGGAAAAAGCTGAATCTGGATGTCATGCTTTGTCCCATGCTGGGCCCGGCTCTCGGCATCGGCTACCCGGGGAAGCTCTCAGGTAGGACTGCTGATGGGGGACTTCTGCCTGCCAGTGTGCCCCTACTCCACCAGTATCAATGAGGAGTGTTCCTCCTCCTCCCCTCACATCCCCAAGGCACAGGCCAGTGGTGGGAAGAGCTCGTCTCTTGGGGCAGCTGCAGCCCCAGCCCGTGGTGGGGTGCACCCAGGACAACTCCCCTGGTGCATGTGGGAGCCAAGGGCAGGTTTCCATCCCGCAGCCCTTGAATTCCCAGCGCAAGGGCCCCGTTACCTGGAAGCTCGCGTACACGGAGGTGGGCACAGGCTTTCCCTGCGGCAGGCTGACTCTGCGAGCTCCCCCTCTCCCCCAGTGGCAGTCACCTACACCATGCTCTACAATGCCTTGGACTTCCCCGTCGGCGTGGTTCCTGTCACGATGGTGACGGACGAGGATGAGGAGGAACTGAAGGGCTACCAGGGGTACTTTCGGGACTGGTGGGACCGGACCCTGGCAAAGGTGAGTGGCACCGGGTTTCCCAGGGGCACGAGCATCCCCATCCCTTCCCCTGGACATCCCCCTGTCCTCTCCCCCTTTTTTTGTACCACAGGCTTTTCGCGGCAGCGTGGCAGCGGGGGCCTGCCGGTGGCTGTGCAGTGCGTGGCCTTGCCGTGGCAGGAGGAGCTGTGCCTCCGGTTCATGAAGGAGGTGGAGACCCTCATCCTGAATAAAAACAGGCTCGTCTGAGTCCCGCACGCTCACCCGGAGCAGGATCCCAGCTAACATCAGCTCAGGTCATCCTTTGGTCTGACTCACCCACAGGACTCGTGTTCCCCTCCGTGACGATGCGGTGATGGCTGGGCTGGCTGCTGGCTTTGGGGTACAAGGGGAAAGCAAGGCAGGCTCCGAAGTGGTGGAGCTCTTCCAATCACTGTCCTAATACAGTATTTTTTTGTTATCGGAAAGTCTGTTATTTCAGTTCTGTGGTTGTGTTTGGGGTTGGGGTGGATTTTAATAACCCTTTCAGCACACACCCCCCTCCCCCACTGAAGTGCAAGAACATGATCTTTCTCTGGCATATGGGGAAACTGAGGCACGGGGACTGATTTTGTCCGAGATGTTCAGAGTTCTACTTGGAGTGCTGTAGGAAAAGGGATTTTCCCCTCCATTCTCAGCTCCTCAGCTCCCTGTGGACAAAATCTGGTGTTTTCCTTGCCACAGACCAGTAATCCAAGGTCAAAGCTGAGCCTGCCTGCAGGCCCTGGAAGCAGGGAGAGTTGGACCGCCTCCCGCAGCACAGGGCTGCTGGCACCCTGCACGCCGTGGAGGGGGAATCTGGAGCGATCATTAACTCCCATCTCCCTGAGATACCTACTCCTGCTTTCCCCAGGGCAGGAGTACGAAGCGCTTTAGCTCATGGTGTTGCACGTATAAAGCAGCGTGCCAGGGTCAGACAGCCAGCTGGACAGCCTGCCCTGCACACCTCCTCCCGTTTGGCGGAGGGGGCCATGCCAGGTTTTCCAGTGGGGTTTTCCAGCCACTGGCAGCTGCTGGCACCGGCATTGGCAGTTTTCACGGGGGGTTTTCCCAGCCACTGGCAGCTGCTGGCACCGGCATTGGCAGTGCTGGCTGCTCCCAGCAGGTTTCCAAGGGTGCTCCAGGAAGGGATACCGCAACGCCAAAGTGTTTTCCTAATGCAGCAGTGCCACAAGCGGATTGTAACAAAGCTCTGGCAGGATTTATGTTTGTTTTTTTTAAATGCATTATTGTTGTTTAAACCAGAGTCATGCAAAAGCATAGGGTCTTTTCAAGGGCTGGGCAGAGAGGTTTATCCTAGCCTAGGAGAAAGCAGCCCCCGGGACCCTGATTCTTTATCAGCAGGCTTTGAAAAAGGGAGGGAGCTCCAGGCATCCCAGGACTGAATGCTATGTAAATCCAAGCCCCAGAAGAGCTTGGGTGGGGTTTTTCACCAGTTGCAGGTGCTCCCTGCCCATGCAGAAAATGCTGCACGGGGTTTATCTGCTTGCTTTTAAAAATACAAGCCTGGAGGAGCTTGTCCCAGGAGAGGCAATGCCACCTGCACCCGTGCTCTCCAAGAGCCAAGCACTGCATCGCTGTTAGTTTAGCCGCTCTCTCCCTGGCTCCCACTTCCCCACCCCACGGAGGTGGGCAGGATGCAGGAGGCCAAAGAACAGAGACACCAGTGGACCTGAACCTGTGAACACTCCTCACTGGAAGCCCTGGGTGAAGACCTCCAGCAAGCCGTGCCCACTGTCACGGGACAGTGCACCAGGCAGGGCCGAAGCTGCTGTGTGTCTTTGGGGACTTGAGGTTGCCAAAAAGGGCCAGCTGCAGGCTGCTCCCAGCCCAGCCTGGACAGAGGGAGGTTAGTGTGAATGGCAGCACTGAGCTGGGATGGGGCAATGAAGACCACACGCCCACAGTCAGTGGGGAGAGGTTGATGAGTTGTTTGGCTCTTTTTGCTCTCTGCTCTGGGCGAACAAGGAGGATCCTCCTCACCTTCCTGGACAGCAACCAATTTCTCTATCAGGTCTTGCTTCTTCCTTGACCTCCCTCCCTGCTGCCACAGGAATAATCCCACAGGACGAGTCTGTAACAGGCAAGGTAACATGATAGCAGCACAATCGCTGGCTTTCAGTCCCCAAACAAGACATCTCCACTAGAGAGAGATGATTACCCTGGATGCAGTCCCCTCACAAGCTCTGCTATCCTACTTCTTGGAGCAGAGCCAGCACCTCTCCAGATACAGAAACGCTGCCTTGCATCTTGGCAGTGAATTTTCAGAGGCACCTCCTGTTCCTTCCTTGGAGGCTTGCAGACCCTTGAGGTTTGAGAGAAGTTTCATTTTTTTTTTTTTTTCTCCCAGTCCCTCCTTTCTGTACTGTTGGGGACGGTCCCATGGGTGGGGAGCACCTGTGGCAAGGGCCAGCTCCTGGTGCTGGCAGGGCTGCATAGTCCAGCTCCTTTGCCTTGTGCTGGCTGGAAGATGGCTCAGAAACTGGAAAGCAGGTAGGATACTGGATCCATCAGAGAGGATTTCCCAAAAGTGCTCCCCCCCGATGTGGGTTGCCAAGATGCTTTTCAAAGTGAATTGGCTTTGAAAAGACATAGTTCTTGAAGGCATCTTCAGATAGTTCCTTCCGCACTTCCACTCTTGGTTCTCCTGACCCTTCTCTTCTCCAATAGGTGCAATTTCACGCCCTGCACCAGGTTTCCCAGGACAAGCAGAGCTATGTTATCCCAGGCTCAAAGGCTGTACATGCTGCTGCCTGAGGGAGAGATGATGGCTGAGCACCTCTAGTTAATGGGCTTAAATGCTAATTGATTATTCGATGTGGATATGGTAGGAGTAGCCCAGACCTGGGTTTTGCAGTCATTCAGCTTTGTTAATCAGCTCTGTCCCCTGTGTGTGGTGAGGTACTACAGCAGGCTTGGGGAGACACAGCCCTGGGGGGCACCTGCCCCCAAACCCACCGTGAGCGGAGCGCGCTGCTTTGCAGCCCAACCCACAATGCTGCTCCATCAGGCAGGCCCTTTTCAAAGTCTGTGGTCTAAAAAGTCTATTCCTGGACTTTGTTAATGCAACTCTGCTTCTGAGCTGATCTTGCACAGCAGGCAATCGTATAGTCTCCATTCGTCAGCCCTTCTTAGGAGAAGGTGGGAGACCCAGGTGTCTGTAGCTGAACCAGAACAGGAAGGACTGGGAGAGAAATCATGATCCAAGAGCGACTGTGGCAAGTTCTAGATTCATCGTGGGGAGACCCTTGCACCTTCTCGGCTCTGCTCTGCCGTTCAGCTGCAGCCGTTGTGCTACTGAAATGGCTGGGATGTAGGCAGATCCAGCAGAAGATGGAGGAAGCAAGGAGGACACAGGATCTGGCCCTGGATCAAATGGAGAAGGCAGCTTACAAGTTTAAGCAAGAGGTAATTTAGGGGAAAGTGTGCATGGGAGGAAGAGATTGTATTTTGGGTAACCAAAGAAATGGAGGAGTGCTGCTCAATCCCTCTTTGAATGGTGGCTAAGGCATGTGCACATTTTGGATCATCACCAATTTTTTTGAGGGTCACCAGTTTCCATTGTCACGAAAAAAACCTCCCGTAAAGACAGTGTAAAGGAAGTATTTCTTAATACAGACGTGTTGAGGGAATCCTGAGGATGAAAGATGCATTGAAGTTTAGGACCCCGTGAATCAGATCACCACCCCAGACCTCCCTATGCCCTTTCCTCCTCATCTGTCCCTACTGCCAAGCCTTTCCTCTCCCATCCTCCTTACCTCTGCTCCTCCACAGGGACCTGTCTGCCCCATCATCCTCAAAGTACCGGGGCTTCACATCCCTCCAACATCTGCACATCGATGACCAAAAGCCATTTCCTCCTGCCCATGCCCCGGTAGAGAAGCACATGGATTTTTAGGAGGCCAGGTCCTTGGATTTGGGATTTGCCTTAAACCTGTAATAAATACCTAAATACCTACTGCTTTTATTTTTTTGTGGGGGAGATTGGAAACAGCCCATGCACTTTTTTTTTCCCCATGTTAATGATAAATTTTGTAAAACTTTAGCTGGTTGAACTGCTATTCAACACATTGTCTATGAGTTAGAAGCGGCTTGAAGGCTTGCAGGAGCGCAAACAGAGACAGGTCAAACCTCTCACAGGTTCATGCAACTCTCCAGTCAAGAAGCAGTTTTCTGCCTGTTTTGGTTCTGTTTTTATGAACTAAGACTCTGCAAATTCCCCTTTAGCAAATTCCCCATTCCAGCACAGGCAGTGCGATGTGGGAGGTCTGCATTTCTACAGGGAACGTCTCCTAAAGTTCTCCGTTCAAAGTTATTGCTGGGCAGATGTTGTAACTGAGTATTTGCAGCCTCAACATCAGCCTTTTCTGTCATTTTCTTCCCTCTCCACCCCATTTCCTACCCTTTGCAGAACCCAGGCACCCAGACTGCGCATGTGCTCTCACTGACGATGGTCGAGTTGGTGGAGAAGCCGAAGGAGGGGTCTCTGTCCCCAGAAAGTGTCCTCTACTGCGTAGGCAAAGTGAGTGATATCTCCAGCATGGGTGAGATGCCGTGGGGCTCTTCTGCAGTGGGGGCTTTCAAATTAAGAAAGAGCTCATTTGCTGAGAGAACCAGTAATGCTGGGGATTACAGTTTGTCAATCCTGTGATGTCTGGAGGGTGGTTTATGGGCAAATAAGTAGGACAGAGATCCAGGGCAGGAAATTATCTCAGCAAGAAACATCTGAAGTTTATAGGTAAGGTCTGAATAATGAATGCTGGAGGTTTCAGGAGATTGAATTTTCAGCTTGAAAACTCAATTTAAATCCTGTTTCCTTCCTTCCATCCACTCATCTGTATTGCTGCTCTTGTCTGTTCTGGAGAGGCTTGAGAGGTGACTTGGGAGTTGAACTGCATGATAGCCTTCACTCATGGCTGTGAGGATCAGCTCCAGAAACTGAAGCAGCAGAAGGAGAAGGGGCTGCTCTATGGCATTCCCATCAGCATCAAGGACCTCATTAACTGCAAGGTATATCCCTCATTCCCCTGTCTCTTGACTGGGGGTGGGAACAGGCCAGGATGTCCCATGCTCATCAGGACTGGCTAAGACTTCCCAGAGACAAGGGTGTTCTGGACCAAATATTGTGAGACCAGCAAACCTGCCTTTCTTCTGATGAAAATTTTGTTTTCTGCAGAAGTTTCTAACCTGCTCTGATCTGATTTTCCCTGGGGTACTCAGGTTCTGTTCTGCCTGTGAGAAAAGTTAGATGGGAAGTTTGTCACAGGAGGTGACAGGACTTAGTCACAGCCCCAAACATCATTCCTGGTACTAAAGAGCTTTGCTTCCCATCCCCAAGGGCCATGTCTCCTCTGGAGGGTTGGTGAAGTTTCTGGACCAAGTGAAGGAAGAAGACAGCGTCATCATCCAGGTTCTAAAGAGCCAGGGCGCAACCCCTTTGTGAAAACCAACATCCCACAGATGTTGATAAAGTAACTGAGTGTTCACCTTCATGAAAACACAATATGTGACTCTTGCTATCTGAGAGAGGGTGGGCCTGCATGCACAAGCTGCCACCCTTGTGCAAGCTAATCATGCACATTGAGTTAATTGCCTCATCATTTCACTCTGAAATTATTTCTCTTATTTATTGCCTCTTTCTTCTTAAATTCAGCTGTCCCAGCAAATCTACTTCATGCTGATTCTACCTGCTGGTTTTAATTCCACACTTATGCCTGCACGGATGCTCTATGCCCTGCATTTATGGTTTGCAGAGGCAGAAGGACCTCACTCAGCTGCTGATATTCTTCTCCCCAGCTATGACTGCAGCAGCCTCATCTTTGGCCAGATGCTGAACCCTCTCAACCACCAGAAAAGCCCCGGGGGCTCCTCAGGAGGGGAGGGAG